ATGCCCACAACAATTGTATTCTGGAAAATGTATTGTCAGTGAGGAGGACAAGCTAGGAGCAGCCAGCCTTTGCCATGCAGTGCTGAAGTTGATTTGCAATGGGCAGGTTGAAGGATGTTTCTTAAGGAAAAGGAATTTCCTTAAGGAAAAGGATTTCCTTTTCCTTAAGGATGGGGTGGGGGTGTTCAGCAGAGAAGGTGCATTAAACATGGCAAAGGCTCAGCACCCCCCCCCCTCCACCCTTTGCTTGCTGTCTAGCTATCTAGTGGTCTAATTTTATTCATATCCTTTTGGGAGCTTGCAGGCTGCATCTTGGATGAGGGAGAACTGATACATGCAAGAATGTACATTTTCATGCAGGTCTTTAAAAATTGCAAATCAAAACAGGAATGGAATTCTTCATCATCTTCTGCTTGAAATTATGCTACAGATGTTCTCTTTCTAGTCTTCAGCAGCGGCCCAGAAGAGCACAGATGTTTCTGTCTTAGGAACAGCAGGAGGGCCCAGTGTAGGTTCCAAGGGACAGAAGGAGATGCTCCTAACCAGGGATGGGGGGGGGAATTCCAGACTGCTTTCCAGACTGCTGCCTTTCAGTTTGATCAGCATTAATATTTGTATCAAGAGCAACCAGCAACATGAGACGCACTTTGAAGCGCAAGACCATCTTGTCCCCAGGCAGCATCCGGCCTCTCTCGGGAAGACCAGGCTTCATCCTGAGGCTTCTGCAGTTGTGTCCTGCGATCTCAATTCCCCTGGGCCAGAGGACTTCCCTTCCTGGCCTTTGAGCCACCAATTCTGACAAATCAGCTAGAAGCTCACACGCTACATGATCTTGTTGTGGCAGCACATGCTCCTCCGTGTGAAGAAAACACCCTGGGTGGAGAGAATCTGCCGAATACTGGATTTCATCTCTTGGAAAAGCACCAACTGCCAAGGAACATCAGCTGCCAGGATGGGTAAATTGGGCCGCACAGAGTGAACTAGCTCACCTCTCATCACCCACCCACCATTTCTCACCTCCTTCGGGCAAAGGGAGAACTCGGTCCTGCCTGGGCTAGTCCTGTCCCCGTGATGTGGGAAAATCAGCTTGGGAAAGGGCCAGAAAGTTTCCAGTTTAGGTTTCTGTGGTGAACTTTGGAAAGATTCCCTTAAGCATAGACCAAGCTTGCTTCCTTTTCCTAAACTAATGGGAGAAATCCTGCTTCCCCAGTTCCTTCAGCAGACGATGGACAAAGAGTGTCCTGCACATACAGTGGGTGGTATCCTACTGATTTCTAGTGGAATCATCCCTTTCTCTGAGAAATGTTGGAGGTAGAAGTAGCACTAGTGGATCAGGGAAGACAAAAGGGAAAGAAGAGCCCCATCAGCTTAACACAGATCCTACATGACTCAATGGCACAGACGACCCAACAACAAGGAGACTTGATAGAGAATGTAAGAGATGGATGAACCCAGAGGAATTGGAGGCTGAGGTTCATGAGGAATTCAGTCCTGATCAAGTAGTCTAGCCCTAACTTCGTTAATAGGACACAGCAAATGACAAGCAATTGCCATGGGTGCAAGGGTGCAGTCCAAATGCAGTGGGATTGCATGCTGCACTGCAAAACTGATGCTGTAGATGACTGTAGGTTGCTATGAAAATGCCACTGTTATGATATGCACCTGCAAAAGAAAACTTTGGGGGGATTTTCTACTTGGTTATAAATGTTTTTAAATGGCCAAATATAGATTAGCCAATGGGATTGCTCCTGAGCTTCCTTGTATGAAATTGACTACATAACCTTGTACTTGGGTTCTTCCACCTAGCTACATTACTAAATGCATAAGGATGTGCATGTCTGACCAAGACTCTGCAGGACTCTGCAGACAAGGTAGGCCAGACCAAGAACCCAGGCCCATGTAGGTCTTCCAGTCTGAATGAGCTCCTCCCTCCTTTCATGTTTGTGTGAATTAAGGAAGGCGTTTTCTCAAGTTACTTTCTTGACCCAGGTTGAAGGCCCTCTACTCTGACTCTTCCTCCTGTCCTCCAGTTCCTATGCTGTCTACCTAGACATAGGTTTTTGGAGACTTTTCACTCCTGTCCTGAATGGAGAAACAGAGCTGAACCTGGGTGGTGGAGAAGGTGCGTGGGGAGTGGGGGAGGTCTTCAGAGTATTTCTCCAGCACTTGGGAAGAATCAGCAGGGCTTGTCAGGTGATGATGAAAAAGTAACTTTGCAACCAATCCTCACAATTGTGCCCTTTGCAGACCTTTGTAAAGCAAAGGAAAGCTGAAATATGATCATAAGCACAGCCACAGTTTCACTTAGTGACCACTTTACTTGATGAGTAATTGCTGGTCCCAACTGGCATTGCTAAATGAGGATTGTATGTCCTGTGCTTGAACAGTCAGAGGACTGGAATAACCATATATCAGGACCAAAGTAGTACAATTCATAATTCTCCATGGAAAAATAAACGAAGCTCAATGTAGGTAGGTGAATGTTCAGAAACCACTTTTGAACCTTCACAGCATAAATTACACCTTTTAGGGCCACAGTTCACAAGCTCACAGCTGTACCATGGGCAATTTCACTATAGGCAGACCTTGACTTACATTCATTTAGTGATCGTTCGAAGTTACAACGACACTGAAAAAAAGTGACTTATGACCATTTTTCACTCTTATGACCGTTGTGGCATCCCCATGGTCATGTGATCAAAATTCAGATGCTCGGCAACTGACTCATATTTATGACGGCTGCAGTGTCCTGTGATCACATGATCACCTTTTGTGACCTTCTGACGAGCAAAGTCAATGGGGAAGCCAGATTCACTTAACAACCACGTTAAGAACTTAACCACTGCAGTGATTCACTTAACAAATGTAGCAAAAAAGTTCATAAAATGGGGCAAAACTCACTTAACAACTGTCTTGCTTAGTGAGAGAAATTTTGGGCTCTATTTTGTGGTTGTAAGTCAAGAACTACCTGTAATTGGAAAAAGCCACTGTTCACTCAGGAAGTCCTATCTTCTGCTCAGTGTCAAAATCCTAGTGGAAATGTCCCCAAATACTTTAATGCCTATCCAGCTTCAAACCATCATTAAAAGGGAGCCTGTAAATTCCTCAGATAAATGTTACTGCTATCAGTGGCACTCGGTGAGTGTACTCAACTGGTGACTCACTATTAATGACACATAGAAATGAATGGCATCTCCTAAAGTGTGTCAGGAAAAGAAAAGTGAGAGAGTTGCTACATAAAAAAAAAAATACCATCCATATTTGTCCTTTTGTGCAATCAGGGCATAGAAATCATGCTGCCAAGAGCACTACAATCGCATCAATGCTGTCTGAATCTACATTCTCCCCTCTCCCTTCTTTCCACAGAAAAGAAAGAAACAGTAATACAGGGGAACAGTTTATGATGGAAATACTCTTCACTTCAGTGTTTAGGGAACAACGGGGCTGCTTTTGGTGAAAGATGCTGTGCTCAAATTCAAATTCAAATCCAAATCTTTATTGTCAGTGCACAACATATGTGCAACGAGATTGGTTGAGCTCCCTCAGTGCACACACTCCCCCAACACAATATAACCCACAGTGAAGACAGAAAATCCCTAACCCAATAAATCATATTAACAAAACACCCAGTCCTATTGCACCACTGTGAATATGTTACACTTTGCGCCAGCCCTACAAATCCGTTGTACTACGTAGGTTACACACATATATTGGTTCTTCTTCTTCTTCTTGTGCCATATCCATCATTGGACGTTGGCAATCATGTTGGCAATCCTATTTTTGTCAACAGCCGTATGAAAAAGCACTGCTGAGTTTTGTCCAAAACAGTCCCTTAAGTTTTGAAGCCATGATGTTCTTCTTCTGCCTGGACATCGTTTGCCTTCCATCTTTCCCTGGGTGTCACATCACATGTCCAAAATATTCTAACTTTCGCTTTTTAATGGCTTTGATGATTTCCCTTTGCTTTCCCAGGCAGCTTGTCACCTCCTCTTTGTGATTTTGTTAACCCAGTTTATACGTAACAGCCATCTATAAATCCACATTTCAAATGCTTCTAGTTTCTTCAAGTGGTTTTCTGTCAGAGACCAACTCTCTACTCTTTAGAGCAGGATATATATTGGTTACACACATATATTTTATATTCTATATATATTCAATAATATATATTCAATTGTAAGGGATGTAAATTTAGGAAATGATACGGAAGTTTTGAAAGAGGTCAGGTGTCTGCCAGGTGCCACTGCCAGCAGAGACAAGAGGTGTATCTTTAAGAAAGTCAAAAATGCCAAATTGAAACCCACCACTGGTCTACCCTAGAGGAGTTCAAATCACCAGGACTGGATGGATTACACCCCAAGGTTCTGAAGGAACTGGCAGATGAGATCTCAGAACCACTGAACTATATCTTTCAAAGATCCTGGAGCACCAGGGAACTGCCAGAGGACTGGAAAAGAGCTGATGTAGTTCCCATATTCAGAAAAGGAAAAAAAAAAAATAGCTCCAGGAAACTACAGACCCATCAGTCTGACTTCATTACCAGGGAAGGTTCTGGAAAAGATAATCAAGCAACGAATCAGCGAACACCTAGAAGCAAACAAAGTAATAACCAAAAGCCAACATGGGTTTTGTCAAAAACAGATCATGCCAGACTAATCTTATTGCATTCTTTGACAAAGTGACAAAACTAGTGGACCAGAGGAATGCTGTCGATATAATTTACTTGGACTTCAGTAAGGCATTTGACAAAGTTAGACCATAACCTACTACTTGATAAAATGGAAACATGTGGGTTAGACAGCATCATCACCAGATGGATTCGTAACTGCCTGACCTCAACATGTAGTCCTCAATGGAACTGCTTCTACATGGAGGGAGGTATGCAGTGGGGTACCCCAGGGCTCTGTTTTAGGCCCAGTACTCTTCAACATATTCATCAATGATTTGGATGAGTGGATAGATGGGGAACTCATCAAATTTGCAAATGACACCTGTTATGTCCTTATAAGGACATCCGCCCTGATTGGCTGCCAACCATCGGGCGGGAGATTTGAATCCCTGTCAAGGGGCGGTGCGTCTGCCGGGAGCGAATATAAGGAGAGCTCCGGCAGCGCGCCAGCAGTCTTGACTCGTTACTTTGTAATGAATAAAAGTTGCTTTATGTATCGAGCTGGTCCAGTCTTCTTTTCCCTGCGCCGGATCTAACACTGGCGACGAAGGACTAGAGAGAAGAACCTTCACAAGACTCTTGGCACGATCGCCCACCGAACAAAATCACCACACCACAGCGATCTTCCAGAATGGCCACCCCGCAAGCCCCGATGACCGCGCTGAACCCGTTCGACCCATCCCGGGAGAAGTGGAGGTCATACATGGTCCGATTCCGGCAGTTCCTGCGAGGCAATGGATACCAGAACCTCGATGAGGAGAGAAAAAGAGCCCTCTTCCTGGCTCATTGCGGATCGGACGTTCTGGAGATGGCGATTGACCTCGTGGCACCCAGGGACATCGAGGAGATGTCCTGGAACGACCTGCAGGAAGTCCTACAGGAGCACTATGCACCTACAGGCACCCCCATCGCAAACAGGTTCACCTTCCAGCAAAGAAACCAGCGGGAAGGTGAATCCATCAAGGAATTCGTGGCAGCGCTTCGCCAAATCGCTGCCAACTGCGAGTTCGACAATGTGGACAATGCCATCCGGGACCGCATTGTGTTTGGAATGCGAGATGTGGGGCTGCAGAAGAAGTTCCTCAGCCGGAAGAAGATTCCGCTCAAAGATGTCCTCGACGAGGCAACGGCGGCTGAAACGTCTGAGCAAGCAGCCGCCGCGATGGTAAAAGCAAGGGGGATCCATAAGATCCACAAGTCGGGCCCGACCTCATCAGACGAGGCAACTACTCAATCCGAGTCTGATGAGGAAATGGCCGTCCACAAGGTGTCCCGCCCTCCCAGGCGGGAAAACCCACAGCATGGCGACCGGGGAGAGCGATGCGGCAGCTGCAGAGGCGACCACCCCAGGGCAAACTGCAGATGGAGGGACGCGACCTGCCGCCGATGCCTGAAGAGGGGCCACATCGCAGAGGCCTGCAGAGCCACAGATCCAGCCCCGGAACCACCCAGACCACGATTCAGGGAAAATCGAAAAGATAACCAGAGGACATCCAAACGGTCCTCAAACCAGTCCCGGCGCGGGGAGGAGGAATATCCCCGCAACAGAACAGTGCACCAGACCACCACCATTGCTCACACAAGCGACGAGGGAACCACCAAGTTCCACGTGACACTGCTAGCAGAGGGGTCTCCGTGCAAGATGGAGGTAGACTCCGGATCCGCCTACTCCATCATGGACTGGCAGCACCTACAGCAGCTGAACCCGGCATACAAAAGGACCCAGCTGAAAACCCCGAAGGCGAGACTTGTGGACTTCAACGGGAACCCCATTGAAATCCTAGGCAGAGCCACAATCCGGGTGAAGTACAACGACTTCAACGGAAAACTACCCATCACCATCGTGCAGCACAGCCGACCGAACCTGTTGGGTGTGGAGTGGTTCAAGCCGCTGGGACTTTCACTTCAGGGCATCCACGAGATCCGCAGGGACGAACTCGACTCCATCATCGAAGAGTTCAAAGAAGTCTTCGATGGTAAGCTGGGGAAATTTGTGGGGAGGCCAATCTCCTTTAATCTGGACAAGGGAATCACCCCAATCAGGCTCAAGCCCCGCCGAGTTCCATTTGCCCTGCGGCCTAAAGTAGATGAGCAGCTGGATAAGCTGATCGCCCAGGGCGTCCTGGAACCGATCGATCATGCCTCATGGGAGACCCCCATTGTGACCCCACTGAAGCATGATGGGTCTGTGCGCATCTGTGCTGACTACCGTTGTACCATCAACAAGGCGTTGGCACAGAGCGCATACCCAGTCCCAGTGGTGCAACATCTGCTGCATTCCCTGGGATCTGGATCAATTTTCGCGAAACTGGACCTGGCCCAGGCTTACCAGCAACTGCCAGTGGATGACAAAACGGCGGAGGCTCAAACAATTGTCACGCACAGAGGGGCATTTAAATGCAACCGCCTCCAATTTGGAGTCAGCGCTGCCCCTGGCATCTTCCAATCCATGATGGAACGCCTTCTCCAAGGCGTTCCAGGGGTGGTGCCTTACTTCGATGATGTGCTCATCTCCGGTGACTCAAGAACCCAACTCCTTGAAAGGCTCAGGCTTGTCCTGCAGCGGTTCAAGGCCAAGGGTTTGAGGGTCAGGCGGGACAAGTGCATCATAGGAGTACAGGAAGTCGAGTTCCTGGGCTTCCTCATTGATAGCACAGGCATCCACCCCACCAAATCAAAAGTGGAAGCAATCCATGAAGCTCCAAGCCCAAAAAACAAAACGGAGCTTCAGGCTTTCCTTGGGTTGCTCAACTTTTACGCCATTTTTTTAAAACAGAAAGCCACAGTTGCTGAGCCACTCCACCGCCTGCTGGGAAAATCGGCTTCCTGGAAGTGGGGCCAGGAAGAGGAAGCGGCATTCCGGGCCATCAAAGGACTATTGACGTCCAAAAGCGTACTCATTCAGTACAGCGAGACGCTTCCCATCAGACTGACCTGCGACGCGTCGCCTTACGGGGTGGGGGCAGTCCTCAGCCACGAACTGCCCAATGGCTCGGAAGCCCCAATCGCGTACTTCTCAAAGACTATGTCTGGCGCAGAACGGAACTATAGCCAGCTGGACAAAGAAGCCCTGGCCATCGTGGCTGGAGTGAAGCGCTTCCACGAATACCTCTACGGAAGAAGCTTCACCATAGTCACAGACCACAAGCCTCTCCTGGGACTCCTCGCAGGCGACCAACCAACCCCGACCTTCATGTCCCCGAGAATGACGAGATGGGCAATCTTCTTAGCGGGCTACTCCTATAGGCTCGTGCACCAGCCAGGCACAGCCATAGGAAACGCCGACGCCCTCAGCAGATGCCCGTCGAAGAAGCCGGTCGAAGACCCAGCCCCCACACTCCACCTACTGCACATTGATGACGACGCCAGCTGCCCGGTGTCATCCGCAGATGTGGCCGTCCACACCCAAAAGGACCCCACACTCCGCACAGTGAAATCCTGGATCCTCAGAGGGTGGCCGTCGGGAAAGCCAGAGGAAAGATTCAGCCCGTTCGCCAGGAAACAGGAGGAGCTGTCCACCATGAAGGGCTGTCTGCTATGGGGAGACAGGGTGCTGATTCCAAGCACTCTGCAACGGCGAACGTTGGAGACCTTGCACAAGGGGCACCCGGGCATCGTCCGCATGAAGGCACTGGCACGGAGTTATGTCTGGTGGCCCTCCATGGACAAAGACATTGAACAATGGGTCTCCAGATGTGACCCGTGCCAAGAAGTTCGCCCAGCGCCGCCGCAATCCGAGGTCGCGAAGTGGGAGACCCCCGGCAACCCCTGGTCGAGGGTCCACATTGACTTCGCGGGTCCGATGCAGGGGCGACACCTCCTCATCGTGGTAGATGCCTTCTCCAAATGGCTCGAGGTGGTGCCCATGGCATCTACCACAACGGATGCGACGATCCGAGCCCTGCGCCGTCTCTTCGCCACTCATGGTCTACCGGATGTGCTGGTCTCAGACAACGGCCCCCAGCTCACATCCTTGACCATGGAATCCTTCCTGGCGGGACTGGGCATCCGCCACGCCCTGTCCGCCCCTTACAGGCCGGCCGGAAACGGACAAGCGGAACGCATGGTCCGACTGACCAAAGAGGCCCTCACCAAGATGGGCCCGGGGGACTGGCAAGAGCGCATAGACAATTTCCTCCTCACCCAGCACATCACGCCACACGCCACCACCCACAAGAGCCCGGCCGAACTGTTGATGGGCAGAAGGTTGAGGTCACCCTTGGACCGGCTGCACCCCCAATACAGCCCGGAAGTGACCGCAACCGCCAGCCGCCCGCTTCGCGCCTTCAGCAACGGAGATTCAATTTTCGCGCTGAACTTCAGCGGCTCTCCTAAGTGGCTGAAGGGGAAGATTGCCAGCACAACCGGCCCCAAATCATACATCGTCGAGTTGGAAGATGGACAGTTCGCGAGACGTCACATCGACCAACTCCGAAAAAGGTGGGGGGGAGCGCATGAAAACCAGCCTGACGAGGGAGGCCTACAACACCCCGATGAGGTAGACCTCCAACACCCCAGCGAGGTAGGCCTACCACACCCAGACCCGGTAGGCCTACAACAACCCGGCGAGGTAGGCCTACGACACCCCGACGAGGTAGGCCTACCACACCCCTGCGAGGCAGAGCAGCACCACCCCGTCAAGGTCGGCCCAGCCCACTACCAGATGCTGTCACGCCGGCAGCCCAGCGAGGTAGACCGGGGCCAACCGCACGGAGGATGGCAACAACAACCCAGCCAGGTGGGCACCGGGCACAGCAAGGCCAGGGACCACCAACCCAGCCCGCAGGTAGACCGGGACCTGCCCAGAGGAGGAGCAACGCACCCCACCAGTGACAGCAGCCCATGCCAGCCCAGCCAGGGAGACTGCAGTTCAAGGCGAGTAGACCGGGACCCAGCCAAGACGGGCAACCCACGACCCACGGGCGAGGGTGGCACACTACTCACCGACGTGGGGGACCCCCGCCCATCACAAGAGACAGCCAAGAAACGACACCCCGACCAGGATGGCCCCAGGCACCAACCAACGGTAGACCAGGGACTAGGGGGAAGGGGAAGTCGACAACAACCCGGCCAGGGAGACCTGCACCACCCCGGCAGGGGAGACCTCCGCCGCCCCGCGGAGGTAGCACCGCAACAACACCCCGACCAGGTCGACCACCGCCAGCCAGACAAGGTAGACCGACGCCAGCCCAACCGAGGGGGCCAACGCCACCCCTGCGAGGTCGGACAGCACAACAACAACAACGAGAGCCAGCACCACCCGAACCGAGCGGAACCGCCACCCGAGCGGCAGCAAGCCGGACCGAGACCGCACCACAGCGCCCGGGAGACCAGGGAAGAGCAAGAAATGGACTTACCGAGACTCAGACGCTCTTCCCGGGTCGGAACCGAGCAGCCGAGGCGAGGCGAGAGATCCACAGGACAGGAGGAAGACCACCAGGACCAGCGATCCAAGGTCTGCGGTCCGGCCGGAGGCGCTGGGGGTGGCCCCGCTCACTCGACAGCCGAACCGAGCCCGGTTCCGGAGAGGGAACCAGGAGACGAAAGAGCCCCGTCCTTCCAGGCCGGAGACGGAGGAGAAGTGAGACTGCGCAGGTCAGCTAGGGTGCCGAGGCGTCCGGCGTACCTGCGCGACTACGTAACGTTTGTGAATGAGATTGACATTTCGGACTAAGGGGGGAGGAGTGTTATGTCCTTATAAGGACATCCGCCCTGATTGGCTGCCAACCATCGGGCGGGAGATTTGAATCCCTGTCAAGGGGCGGTGCGTCTGCCGGGAGCGAATATAAGGAGAGCTCCGGCAGCGCGCCAGCAGTCTTGACTCGTTACTTTGTAATGAATAAAAGTTGCTTTATGTATCGAGCTGGTCCAGTCTTCTTTTCCCTGCGCCGGATCTAACAACACCAAGCTAGCAAGAATAGCCAACACTCTGGAAGATAGGCTTAAGATACAGAAAGATCTTGACAGATTTGAACATTGGGTGCTATCTAACAAAATTAAATTCAATGGTGAAAAGAGCAAGGTTCTACATTTAGGCAAGAAAAACAAAATGCACAGGTACAGTACACGTGGTACCCTGCTCAATAGCGGTAACTGTGAGAGGGATCTTGGAGTCCTAGTGGACAATCACTTAAATATGAGCCAGCAGTGTGCTGCAGCTGCCATAAAAGCCATCACAGTTCTAGGCTGCATAAACAGAGGGATAGAATCAAGATCACGTGAAGTGTTAATACCACTTTATAAGGCCTTGGTAAGACCACACTTGGAATACTGCATCCAATTTTGGTCACCACAATGTAAAAAAGATGTTGAGATGCGAGCGCGCGCAAGTGACCCCGTTGCGAACCGGTAGTAAAGGTAAGTAGAAATAAACACACACCCGGTACATGGAGTGATTGTGATTGTGTTTAGGAGTCTGACAGCCCAAGGATAGAAACTATTTTTAAACCTGTTTGTTCGAATGGCTATGCTTCGATGTCTTCTGCCCGATGGTAGAAACGAAAAGAGACACTGACCAGGGTGTGAATCATCCCTAAGTATCTTCCTTACTCTGCTGAGACAGTGAGACCTGGTGAGGTCATCCAGTGGTGTTAGAGGGCAACCAATGGTTTCTTGTGCCGAATTGATCACTCTCTGTAGTGTCTTCCTGTCCGCAGCTTACCATACTGTTATATGCCATATATAACAGTTATGTACCATAACCAGCGTTCCATACAGTTATACAGTATGTGAGGACCAGGGATGGGTTCTAAAATGTTTTACTACCAGTTCTGTGGGCATGGCTTATTTTGTGGGCGTGGTTTGATGGTCATGTGACAATTCTTTAGGATTTAGCAGAGGTACTGGTCTACCAGGCTTTTAACTGCTTGCAGAGCTGTACCAGTCTACCCATTTGTTCTTGGAGCGTCCTGGTCTACCTACTTGTTTTTGGAGGCACCGGTCTACCCATTTGTTTTTCCAGCGTACTGGTCTACCATCACACAGCCTTTTAACACTGATCAGCTGTAGGGTGGCCCTTTGAAGCCCCGCGGCAAGAGTTTAAACAGCTTTTTTCCTTCCAGCCAATCAGCTGGGACTCGGAGGCAGTGAATAGATTGGGGGCAGGGCCAAATAAAAGGTAAGAATAACGCAGGGGGGAGTGGGGGAAGGGCCCAGCTCCCAAAAAAAGAGAACCGGTTCGGTGACGTCATATCACCACTGCTACCGGCTCAGCAGAACTGGGCCGAACTGGGAGGAACCCACCACTGGTGAGGACACTTTCTATCGTGGACCGATAGAAAGAAGTCATCAGCCATTGTTCCACCTGAATTTTTTGCAGGACTCTAAGGAAATGAAGTCTCTGTTGAGCCTTACTAACCACCAAGGACGTCTTGTTTTTCCAGGTGAGATCTGGACCAATGAGCACTAATAACTCTGTTATTCTGTTCTATTCTTCTATTCTATATAGGTCTTAATTAAGAAAACTTTACTGTGAAATAGGGATAATTCTCTGCTATTTCACCTTGGCCATTGAAGGCTGCAGGGATGGTGTTGCGATTACTTATTTCCTCCAGCTACCTCTATTAGCAGCAAACAACATATATAAAAGGCATTAACATTCATCTAAGAATGAACCTTTTTATAATATCCCACCATCATCAAAAACCAAAGGCATGATGAGACCTGATTGTCCTTATGGAAAGCAAGGACGTAGAGCCCTGCATAGCCTTGATGACCAAAGCAGGTGGGCAGATTGAAATCTGGCAAGGTGTTGCCTGATGTATCTCACAGCTATGTCTTGAAGGCCTTTAAAGGCAACCTCCAATACTTTGAAGTCAGTCAGGAAGCAGACTGGCAACCTAAGCAGTGACTAGGAGTAGGTGTAATTCTCCATTATCAGGGTTATCCAACAATCATTTCACCACTGCATTTTATACCAGCTGCAGGTTTTGGATGATCTTCAAAGGCAGCCCCACTTACAGTACACAAAAATAATTAAAAGGTCTAGAGGTTAGGACATGAGTTAACACCTCCAGGGCATCAATAGAACTGAAAGAAAGTGAGTTATAACTCTTTTTCACACTACAACCATTGCAGTATCCCCATGGTCACGTGATCAAAATTCAGATACTTGGCAACTGGCATGTACTTAGGATGACTCCAGGGTCCCTGGGTCATGTGTTCACCTTTTGTAACCTTCTGATGAATAAAGTCAATGGGGAAGCCAGATTCACTTAACAACGGTGTTAATAGCTTAACACCTGCAGTGAGTCACTTAATAACTGTAGCAAGAAAAGTCATAAAATGGGGGGGGGAAACTCACAACAAATGACTCACTTAGCAACAGAAATGTTGGTCACAAACCGAGGACTATCTGTATTGGAAAAAAACAAGAGGAAAGAGGATGACAAATGTTGCGAAGACACATTTCCAAAGCAATAAAAAAAGAAATTTTGCTTGAGGCCAGACGATGGGGTTGGAGTATGAAAATGCTTCATGAATATAAAAGACAATCAGAATAAGGCTGGAAGGAACCTTGGAGGTCTTCTAGTCCAGCCCCCTGCTCAAGCAGGAGACCCTATACCTATGATGGCGAACCTATGGCATGGGTGCCACAGGTGGCACACGGAGCCATCTCTGCGGGCATGCGAGCCATCACCCTAGGTCAGCTCCACTGTGTATGCATGCATGCCTTCCGCCAGCCAACTGACTGGTCTGCAGAGACACGCGCACATGTGCGGGGACGACGACTGGGGGGGTTATGCACACATGTGCAGGGGGCCATGTGCACATGTACAGGGGGCCGGGGGGATGGGGCGCACCCCCAGCCCCATTTTGGGCCTAGCAGACCTCTGTGAAGCCTCCTGGGACCAAAAACATGCTGGGGGAGCACACACATGTGTGGAGCGGGGGACCGTGGGGCTGGTGGAGTGGGGGGGTCACATGTGCATGTGCAGAGGGTCAAGGAAACATGGGGGGCACATGTGTATGCACAGGGGGGCAGGGCATGTGGGAGGCATTGCATTATGGGTGTGGGCACGCATGCGTGCACTGTCACATACACGCATGCACTTCTGGCACCCGAGAAAAAAAAGGTTAGTCATCACTGCCCTGTACCATTTCCGACAGATGGCTGTTCAGTCTCTTCTTAAAAGCCTCCAGTGATGGAGCACTCACAACTTCTGAAGGCAAGCCATTTCACTGGTTAATTGTTCTCACTGTCAGAAAATGTCTTTTTAGTTCTAGATTGGATCTCTTTTTAATAAACTTTGCTTCTTGGAAAGAGGAAGAAGCATAATCATATGTGTACAACTATGTTACTAACATCAATCTAAATAAAAGCCATTTTTAGGAATTGCAGTTTTCCAGGGAATCTATTTCCTAATCTGATCTGCCTCATAATGGTGATCCATCATCAGTTATCCAGAAGAAGAAGAAATAGAAAGTTGTAGATATTGAGGGCTCTCGCTTGAGAGGTGCAGAATCTTAACACAGAATTTAAACTTCCGGTCCAACCGGAAGTCGGCAAACGGGGTGTTTCTGGCCTCTGGAGGGCCTCCAGGGGTTGGGGAAAGCCATTTTTGCCCTCCCCAAGCTCCTAGAAAGGCTCTGGAGGCTGAGGAGAGCAAAAAATGGGCCTTCCGGTCCCACCAGAAGTTGGCAAATGGGCCATTTCCAGCCTCCAGAGGGCCTCCAGGAGGGAGGCCATTTTCACTCTCCCCAAGTTCTTAGAAAGGCTCTGGAGGCTGGGGAGAGCAAAAAACGGGCCTACCGTACCATCACATGCCAGGCGTGGGGGGAGCATGGGGGATCACACGTGCATGCGTGGGGGTGGGGCGCATAGAATTATAGGTGTGGGCATGTACGTGCGTGACCCCCCCCGGCACACGATGGCAAAAAGGTTAGCCATCACTGACCTAGAGCATGGGTTCATCGAACCATCAAGACCCAAGGTGGCCACCCCCATCCTTTTCCGGGAGAAGAAGGATGGCTTGTTACATTTAGTGTGGATTATAGGAATTTAAATGCTATTTGCAAGGAAAATTTTTATCCCCTACCCTTAATGAAGGATACGCTGGTCCATCTGGCGAAGAGGATAATTTTTTCTAAATTAGACTTGTGGGACGCTTATTATTGGATCAGGATCTGAGAAGGGGACGAATTGAAAACAGCGTTTAATTGTCCGTTAGGATGTTTGCAGTTCAAGGTTTTGCTATTCGGACTCCAAGGGCCCCCCGCCATTTTCATGCAGCTAATTAATGAGGTGCTTGTATAAGGGAGCACTTGAGCATGCTATGAGCACTTGTATAAGGGAGTTTTGGTTTATCTTGATGATATATTGATTTATACTAAAACTAAGACTCAACACGTTAAATTGGTGCAGGAGGTTTTGAAGAAATTAAGGGCAGCTAAGTTGTTTGCCAAACTCTCCAAATGTGATTTTCACCAATAAAATAGATTACCTAGGGTACAGAATCTCTCACCAGAGGGTGGAAATGGAGCCTGCAAAAGTCAGAGCAGCCCTCGAGTGGGAAACCCCCAGTACTTGCAAAGAATTGCAGAGCTTCCTGGGGTTTGCTAACTTTTATAGACAGTTTATCCCCTCTTTTGCCCAAATAGCATTGCCAATTAGAAAGCTGTTAAAAACCAAGGGGGTAGATAAACAGAAACCTAGTCAACCACTGAATTGGACTATGGACTGCCAAGCAGCATTTGAGAAACTGAAAAAACTCTTTTCGACTGAACCTGTATTAAAACACCCAGACCTAGAGAAACCATTTGTAATCCAGGCCAATGCTAGTGATGTGGCAGTCGATGCTGTTTTACTCCAAGAGAATGAAGAAGACAAATTACAACCATGTGCAAACACCTCTAGGAA